ATTCCCGGAGAATTCCAAAATGATAAGTTCCTTGTTTGAAAACTTTATTCTCAAATAATAGATACATAGTTTATACCTTCATTACTTTTAGATAACATACTACACAGCAAAATTTTATAATTGATATGAATTTGAATATGTAGCTAAAAACAGAATAGCTGAATTCTAGTTGAACTTATTCTTTCAAAACTAAAAAATACTTACCAAGAAAACGATAAAAAGTAATTAAGAATTAGCACAAATGGCACTATTTCAAGTAACTTGAAACTAGTCGCATATTCCTTCTCATCTGAAAGATAGTGGCATCAACAACATACTTATGATGAAGACATTAACTAAAAGACAATACCTGACCATTCATAATACTAAAATATGCTGGTTCGTGCCGTTCATTGAGCCATCTCAATTTATAAAAATAAAAGTAATTCCAAAACGTAACCAACCCCATCCCGGTATTTCATGATTCCTCTAGGGTTGACTCATTTTTTCTAAAATGAGATAAATATAGAACCGACTTCTAAATAATTTATTAACAAAAGCGGCTTATGAATGGTCCGTTAAATAGCAAATAACAAACTTACTTTTTAGCGAAATACTCTTTTTCGTAGACTAGATCCCTATTTTTTTTCTATTCAGTAAATACACTTTCTTCGAAGACTGGTGCTGATATATAAGTGTTTTCTCCACTTAGAAGTAATTAGTTCCACTTGGATAAATAAATGGTCCACGATAACAACGAAAAATTATTTGGATAATTTCTTCATATGGACTGCCTTTCTCTTGTTAACAGCTCCGTGATTCGAAGCCTTAACACCTTTCAATGCGCCAATGCGACAACTTTTTCCAATTATCTCGATTCTTAAAGGTTCTTCAGTGCTGTGCAGAGGTGTGGACTAACTTCTAGATTAGATGTCCCAGGAGAGAGTGCACATACTAGTAAAAAAAAAGTATTGAATAAAAAGAAATCTTGGCAAGTGATATATATCTATAGAAATCTATATTCATACCTTAAATTTCAGTTTTTATGTAAATATATGCCGGAAATAAAAGTAAGGCAAAAATAATTATTTTCCTCAAAATTTTCCGTTATTTTTTTTAATATAAAAAATATTATAGTTTTATAGGAGATATTTCTATTTAATATTCTAATGACCTTAAACTGTAATTCGAAAATCGAATTTTGCTATTATATTATTTTTCAAGACCTAAATATTCATCGTATAAGTATTTAATTACATAATTAAATATAGGTAATAGATTTATCGGGCCGGGATAGCCTGGTCGGTAGGGCGCTGGGCCCATGTCCGAGAGTTTGTGGGTTCGAACCCCACCGGCCGAAGACTCCCCGTGTAATAAAGTGACTGATGCACGTTAAATCTGTCGAGTCGCAAAAGTCCTCCATGTTCCCATAACAAATCAAAACCTCTGGGGGTACTGGATTGGAGATTGATCGTTCTGATTCAGGTCAAAATTACGATCTGTGAATGAATGAGTGAATGGGTCCGCCCTATAAAACGGGTGTGACGTACCTTTACCTTTGAAAAATCATTGAATATGTGTAAATTAAACTTTAAAAATCGAGATTTGAAAGTTTTATTATGTATTATAATTCTAATTTTAAGCTGTTTGAATTTAATGTAAAGAAAAAAAAGATCAACGTGGTGAGATAAATTCTCCCCCCTTGATAGTGCGCAATTAAGCAAAATAGTTATCATATATCAGTGTTAGGACTGAGCGATATTAGAAATTATATATCGTGATGCATCGTCAGTTTTGCATCGCGATATAGCGATGTATCGCGATATAGTATTTTTTAATTTCATTTACTTGTAAGGCTGCAGATTTCTATCAAAACTTCATACTCAGATTGATTTAAATCAATTTATAAATTTGAAGATATATATGTTTTGCTTAAGAAAGATATTAAATAAATTGACTACAATGTACAAATCTTACTTAAAATATTTATTGAAATGTTTGTTTAGAAATTCATAATACGCGTAAAACAAAGTGTTAAAAACTTTTTTTAAAGCGTTTTTTACAAATTAATATTTTCTTGTACTATTATGCATAAATAATTACATA